CCCCCCCACCGCATCTGTGGGTCACACCTCCTTCCCTTCACCCCTCACAGGTCATGCCCACCCCACCCGTGGGTTGTGCCTGACCCCTGATCCCCTCCAGCCTGCCGGATTCCCAATTCCCCAGCTACCCCTCCCATCCTGAATTACCTGATATCAGGCACCCAGTTTGAATCTAACCTCCCCCTAATCCCCCTGAGTGTCTGTACTTAGCCCAAATGATCAGGAGGGGAGGAAGTTAGGAGGCTCAGTAAATATGCATTATTCTTCAGCAGTATGAAGCTAAAGTTTGAAGGTTTAGGGGAGAGAAACACAAGATTAGAAGCTAAAGAAGCAAAAAGGAGAATGCCGCTGCCACCACCTCCACCTTCCTCAACCTTTCCCCTTCCCCATCCCCCACCCCCACTCCAATCTAAGATGTGTAGGAGGGATGCAAGGACATATCTGGAGAGAGAGGAAAAGAGCACAGGTGGGACAAAGTGTTTGAGAAGGATCCCAAAATGGATTTAGTGGATGGTATGAATCTCAAAAGAGAGCAGAGAGAAGAAAGGAGAGAAGACAAATGGAGCAATTTTTGCTGGTGCTAAGCTGAGGTGTAATTGAAGAGCCATATGAAATGGCTTAAGATGGAAAGTCTGCTTATAGCTGAGCAGGGCTGACCTACCCTTATCCTCTCATGTTTAATATTTGATGTCAGAAGTTTCTTAATTTTTTTTTTTTTTCAGGGAGCCTTTTGCTGCACATCATGAATACATGCGTCAAATGATGAGAAGCTTTTCTGATCCTTTTGGACGAGATCCATTTCTCAGTATTACAGATGGTGGAGAAAGAGGTCTAGATCAAAGAGGACGCTATGATTCTCAGGTTGCTCTGAGGGGAAATCAGAGAGTAAGTTCTTTGATAATTTCAGAGGCTAGTTGTTTGATGCATACAATTACTAGTAATATAGGTTAACACTTGGATTTTTAGACATTGAGAAGATCTGATGGATACGCCACAAGACAAGAAAGAGCAATTAGGTTTATGTTTCTGGCTCTGCTGCTGGTCTGGATGGCCTTTATCAAGTTACTTAGTTTTCTCTGAGACTTTTCCAGCTGCAGAATGTGGGTCATAATATTTGTCATCCAAAAAGTGTTTTGACCTGTGGTTAAAAAGTATTATGTAATGTGTTTGTTACTTAAGAGCTGTGAGTTACCATGTTAGCACTGATAATTCAGTGAACACTTTATGTTGTGTATTAGTTATGGGTTAGTGTCCAAAAGGACAGTTTTCCCTGAATGTCTTTGTTTATAAATTGCTTTATCTGCCAGCACTATTACTGGACAGTCTCTTCTCCCCAAATGGATACCTCCACTATGCCTTCAACATGCCCATCTCTTGTGTAAGTATATACATAAATGCAATACAATATTTGTGCACTTAATTATCGAGAGCAGTCTAAATGTGCATACATGTGTTCTGTTTTAGTTTAAGCACCTGACAGTCCACCCCCAAATATTTATGATGGAGGAAATAAATGAAATTTAGATGCATCCTAGCTATTTATGATAGCTTGCCTTTGGCTGTTAGAAACTGCTGGTGTGCAGAGGCTGCACAAGTTGCCTCAATATGCAGTAGTAGAGGCTGCAGTCTTTTCACTGAAGAAGAAAGCATATAATGCTGTGGGTTCTTGATATTATTATTCTGGCATTCAGGTCTTGCAGCTGATGTGCAGGACTTTACCTTCTCTCTAATTTTTTTCAGTTATGTATGAGCCACTGTACTGGTCTGTTTCTAAATTACCACTTTTGTGGATATAAGCCAGATCTGCAATTCAGCCACCTAAAGCTGTTAGGCTTGCTTATATAACAGCTTCGCTGTGAGGCAGGGATTCATATCCCACATTCATTCTGATCCTTAAATATCTTTCTTCAGATATGTGGCTCTAACAATTAAGGAAGACCAAGTAAATTGATATGAAACCAAATATTCCTATAGGCTGCCAACAGCAAATTAAAAGAAAGTTGGCAACAGTCTGTCTTTATATAAAAGTGCTCTTTTGACTGTCTGATCAGGCAGTGACAATTATAGTTATGTTGCTGTTGCTAAATCTTATAAGTACTATGTATATAATTTATATAACTTAAATCAACGTATATAATTTCAGAAGCAAAATGTCTGTCATACTATTTAAAGCATCTTTTGGCTTGACTGTTCTTAAAGTGGAACCATTGGCATTTGAGTCCAAGGATAATACACCACAAGGGGTGGTGGACCTCTGCCAAGAACAGTCGTTGTAATTCAAATTTAGATATTTTGAGCTTAATAAACATAGCTGGAGCACAGACGGTTACCTGCAGGTCAAAAGGGTAACTGCCAGATTCTTTCCTCCATGCTCATATGCTGAAAGCTGGCTTCAAATATAGATGTTGTTGGATCCACTTGAGGCCTGATTCTACTTCCATTGGAATTCAGGAGAGCAGGAGCAGGTTCTTTGGCCCCTCTTTAGCAAATGCCTAAATATGGATATGACCTTTGAAGAAGAAAAAAAGGCAGAGGATTTATTGCCCCTTGTTCTTTACATTTGTGTTCTGTCTGTAAGGAGACTTGAGGTTTGAAAATGTTAGACAGGTTTTTGTCTCTGCTTTCTAAAAATAACTGTTCATTTTTTTTTTTCATACCCATGGTCATCATGCTATCTTTTAAGAATTTCTTTTGTGTTCCCTGAAATACCGTGACCTGAGACTAGTCAGTGCTGGTTCCTGCCTTGTGTGTGTGCATTTGTGAGTGTTGGCACAAGATGATACAATCAAACTTTGGGTTATAGCTTAGATTTATATAAGATGACACAGCTATCTTTTTGTATTACTAAAAACTTAAATTTAGAAATTGAATTAGTATTTTTTTCTCAAAAAGTGTCTACACTGGTCGGTAAGCATTCATCTAAATATCATTAAGTTTACTAAAATGTCAAATAGCTTCTTTCAAAATTTGTAATTGTTCTCTCCCAGTTTGATTGAGGAAAAGAATCTTTTTCCTCTTTTCCACCTTCAGTTTGATTGAGGTTTCCTCCTTCCCTTCTACTGTCCACCAAATAGCTGCATATTTAAATTCTTTAACTTGGGAGAGCACGTTGAAGTCAGTAATTTGCACTTTCAAGGATTGTCTGCTGTTTGTTTGGTTGTCTTGTGCAAGTTCTCAGCTATATGTCATTGGCCGTGGTTTTTCTGACAAAAAGCAGACTTATGTTTATAACAAACAACAACAAAACCCAGAAAATAAGGCAGATCTTGGTTTCCCTGGATGGCAGTTCTGAAATATTCTAGTGAAAAACTGAATGTGTTTTCTTTCTACATTTCACAGTAATAAAGACCCCCTTCTCATGGGAATATCTGTTTTTCAAATTAATTTTATATTAAAATGATTAAGCTCTTACTGCTGTAAATTGGATGGGGCGTGTGTGAAATATTTACCTCAACATGAACAAATTCCTAAAGGAGTTCTGCTTAGTAAGAGAGTTGGTTGTAAAATGGTTAAAGCTTAATAGATCTGAACTATTGGACATATACGTAATACTTTTACAACTCTGCAGAATTAAAGAACTTAAAGCTTTTGGCTGTGAGTGCTTTAAAATATTTAATGGCATAAGTAATTTGTTCGTTCAAAGCAAATTTCCTCTAGTTTGTGTGTGCATGTACCATATGAAAATTAACTCTTATCTTTGTTTCCTAATAATATCTATTTTGTCTTCCAGCAACTCAGTTGCTCTGCTGTACTGAGATTCAGTACCAAGTGGTCAAAGCTTCACAGGGGCTGCATTTGGTGTTTATAGCTGCATCTATTTATACATCTGTACACAAATATAATTTGCACACAACAGATTTATTAGTCTTCAGACTTCTGTATATGATGATAGATTTTACTTAGAATTTCCTTGCAATGACCTTTGAGACTACTGACATTTTAGAGTTGATTTGGTTTATCCCTAGGGATCTATGAATATTTTGGCGAGTATGTATGTATTTTATTGTTAAGTCTACATTAATCTCTTGTAATACATAAAAAGGAGTGCTTGAGCAGATCAGCTGCATCGCTTAATGTTTGTGCGCTAAAATTTATGCCAGCCTTTTGAAATTTGGTTGCGTACACTTATGTCAAGTGAAACAGATTTGTTGGTTTTAATCAACCTTTCTGACTTCTACTGCATAAAGAGAATTGAGTGAATATAAGAAAGCAGGTGACATCTGAAGTACTACACCTTATGTTTTAATTAACTTTAGTTGCATGGTTGCTATGGTATATAGAAATGTCTCTAAAGATTTATATTTAAACGCTTTTGTCACATTTGTGTAAACATGATTTATTAAAGTTTGGTGCAGCCTACTATTTAAAAATAGTATGCTGCTTCTATATCTGTTAAGAACTACTTCACATTATGTGGTCTTAGCACAGGATATACCACAGAGATTCTCTTAAATAACTTTTTTTATTTGCTCAAATGTTTTAATTTCAACTGCAGTATGGAAAAGACTTTTAAATACATCACGATAAGAAGAAATTAAATCAATCCTTTTCTTCCAGGCCATGAGTTGTTCCCTCCTGCCCTTTGGCAGCTTTGGTAATATGGTTAGTATCCTGGGAAAAATGGTTTGTGTATCTTGTTAGCATGTGCATCTTGTCTTGCTAACCAAAACAAAAATAAGTCAGAGCTACCGTATGCTTGTGAACTGCTGTACTTGCTTGTTGGAAATGCGGAGTGATTATTATTTGGGAGTGTTTGCCTTCTAGCATTTTCATTAAAAGAAAATAAATCATGTAAACCTTCTATGGATATCCCATTGGATATTGCTGCTGAAATTGATTTTTAAAGAGCTTGTATTCTTCAAAAGGTTTCTAGTAGTTTTTTTTTTTTTAGTTCTCTTTATCAAATCTATATATTCTTTGTTTTTATCTCCAAAAGATCAGGTCTTTCATTAGACTGGGTAGGGGGGCAATATCACTTTTTGAACCAGATGAGTTATCCAGAAACTGCTGGGGACTTTTTTAGTTTTCACTTGGCTGCATGAGGCCCTCCAGTGCTGAGGTAGCAGCATGCTCTGGGGCTCCGAATGCACCTAGTGGGTGCAGACCTGAGGGTCTCCCCCCCCACACCCAGAAAAGCAATGCAGGCTGCACAGGGAGCAGAGGTGCAGGTAAGAGCCATGGGTGAGGGGTTGACATGAGTGAGGATAAGGTGGTAACCACCTTCCTCATTGAGGGCTGGAGCAGGTAAGAGACGTGTGTCTGTTATAAATTCAAAGCAAACAAAAGAAAAAATAGTTTATTTATGTCAGTAGTTTTAAAATGCCTTGCACTATTACTAAATATTGATTATTGGATCAGCATTGGCCGATGTGGTTGGTTAATCATTGGCTGTTGGTATCGGCCAAGAAAATCTATCGGTGCACCCCTACTCATTTGCCTTGTAGCCAATTAAGAAGCAGTAGAAAACAACCCCAACAAATGAAGATAGTTTCCAAAATAATGGTGCCTTTGACCCAATTCCCTTGCAGCCTTCTTGATGGAAGCCCTTGTCCTGATGCAAGATTCTCAGACCTCTGAATGTGGCCAAACCCTTGTCCTTCACCTGAATGTGGTAGTAAATTCACCTGTTAGCTGTATCCTTTGTTGCTGTTAACCACAGTAGCCTAACCACTGAAGCAGTCTTTCTTCTGCTAGTGGATGACCTTCTGCACATAGGCAAAGGAGGTACATCCATACTTGTCCTGTTAGATGTTTTATGGTATTGGATTCTGTTGATCACCACATATCTTTCCAACATCATGCATCCTCGGGACTTGATGGAAACGCCCAAAATTGGTTCAGATTCTTCCTCTAAGTAAACCGAGAGGATTACTATTAGCAACTGTTTTTACGTCTTTTTTTAGCCCTTTTCTGTGAGTCTAGAAAGGGTTAGTACTTTAATCTATTGTATTTTATTCAATTATGGAAGATCTAGTAGGATACTGGAGGGTAAAGGTAACGCCTATTTGTCTCCTTTAAATAAAAACAAAGATTATGGCATTGCCTGCAATAGCTGAACTTGGTGACCTAGGATACCCCTTCTAATCCTGATTTGAGCATGTATGTAGCACCACTTCCAGGATTCTCAGTTCAGCAACAACCTTCCTTTTTAGTACAAAATCTTGCTACTTAGAAGAATAGACTCCCATTGGCTAGTGTCAAGTACAAAATCTTTCTGGATACATTTTTTCATCCAGAAGACTAGCCCTGGCGAGTTAAGTGAGTGCCGCCATTGAACTGATAGAAACGTAAGTATTTAAGTTTGAAGATGAGAGGCATGAGAGCTGTAAAATTCAATATACCATCCTGTTTATTCCTTTCTGACTTAACAAAACTTCTATGACTGTCAGTAATGGTATGCAAGTGACGATACATTCACCAGATGCATAAGTATTTGAGATTGGGCTAAATAGGAAAAAAAAGAGGGAAACTAAATTACTCAGCTGGCATGATTATGTTTACAATATATTTTGGGGAACAGTATAGTGAATTGTCCAGAATCCCATTCTGTTGTCATACCAGATCAGGACAGATGCTGTTTTAGCTTAACCTGAGCTATAAACAGCAAGCTATTACTGGTTCCAGTATCTAAGTGATAGTTATGCCACTTACAAAACTTTACTTTTACCCACTTTTAGGTACGTTCCTAAATACTTATGCTACCCCTTATGGGATGTCATACTTCTGTTATCCCGCGTGTCATATTATGTGGTCTTATGCCACGCTTGGAAGAGTAAAAGAAGTTAGTTCATTCTCCATTTTTAAATTCTGAGTCACTTGCCATTACTGTTCACAGATCTCCTTTTCTTTGCTCTGGCCATGAAAATGTTTCTGTAGTTGCTACTTCTGAGACTGTCATTTATGAATTATTATGCAATTAACTTTTAAACTATGAGGAAATGCTTTAGTGGGCATGAGCCAGCTAAAGCCTCTGCTGGTGCTTTAAGTTAACCATTTGGGATAAACGTGTCATTCACATACTTACCATTTTTCTATTATTTTTTTTTAGGCCCAATCTGTTATCCAGAGAGGTAGTGCGTGTGGTGTCTAAACAGTCTAGAACAGGGATAGCTAACCTGTGGCATGAGTGCCGCAAGTGGCATGGGCAGCTTCTGCGCGTCATGCAGCAGACTGGGGAGGAGAAAGGCTATGAAGTGGCCAGCAAGGCAGGGAGCAAAAAGCAGATAGGGCAGGAGAAGTGAATCGGAGTCGCACTCAGGGAGTACGTGAGGCTAATTTTTGGCACTCCCAACAAAAAGGTTGGCCTCCACTGTCTAGAGCAACTGAATGTCACTATAGAAACAACATTCTCCAGAGCAAGCAAATGTTTCTTTATCTCTGCCATTATTCATTGTGCTGCCAACAGAAAATCCCAAATTTCTTCCTGCTTAATGAAACTTATGAGTTACAAATATGCAGGAATTTGCATTCTTAACTCATTTCTTATCTACTAATAATTTTAATAACCTTATGAATTCTTGCAGTTATAAATTTGAAAATACAGCTGGTGTGACTTAGTGAATATAAGCAAGATGAGAGTTTTTGCTTATTAGTGCATTTAACTATAAAAAAATATGCTACATAAAGGAAAACACTATAACTTGTTGAGAGATTTGAGGTATTAAATACTTCTTTAAAAAGCTTTTTTTTATCCTCCATCTGAAAATGCTTGGACTAAGGCTTCTGTCCACTAACAGTTGGGTTCTTTTTGTTTTTTTAATAGCATCCTTCTTGTCTTGTCTTCTCCTTACTACAGTAGTTGTAATTGTTCTGTACGCTCCTAGGGCACTAGGATTCTTTTCATGTGGCATTTTTCACAATATACAATGGCTTTCCAATATATGCAAATCAATATGTTGTTTACTTATGCTGTACAGTACATTTTACGTACTTTGTCTTCATACACATTCTCTTCTTCGTTGTTTTACTTGAAAGTGATACATGTAGGAAAGTAACCAGGGACCTGATTTATAATGCTCACTGAGATCAGTTGCCTTTCAGTTGATCAAAGGTGACTAGGATTATGTCTTAATAAAATAACTTATATTTATTCTGAAAGTGAGATTGTTACTAGACATGAAAGTACTTAGCTTTTTGTAAGTGCTGGTATTCTGTGGTGTAAAAGAACCTTGCTGATTGTATGGCCTCTTTTAAAATGAGAGACTTGACTTCAAGTCAAGCGTCTACTGGTTTCCTTCTGCTATTATCTTTTTCATTTTGGAAAGTAAATTAGTGTTTCATCACATACATAATTGCATGACATTGCACTGCTAACTGTTTTTGATTATTCAGCATTGTAATTACATAGCATTAGGATTGCCAGGATTGAGTTCATGTACGACTAGGTTTAAATAAATTTAAAACAAAACCAAAAATGCCGTGAGTCATTGCTGTTATTACTCAGACTATAAAACTGTGTGTTCAAATTGGGTTGTGTAAGCCTAGGTGACTTACTTATTTTCCTACTGGAAACTTTAAATGTGAACACCCAGCAATGAATAGGAGGCTTGAAAACTTGTCATTTTGCTATCTTTCAGCCTTCTGTAAGCTCCTGTAAAGTTCTGTAATTACAGTACTGTACTAGGTAAACATGCTGTAATCCTTCTTTGGGGCTTTACCAGCTTCAAAGCAGTAGGAGAATACAGCATTTCCTGTAGTGAAGAAATGTCTTGGATTAAATCTGTGGATTTTAGATCTTAATAATGCATTCTATTTTATTAAAAGTGCTCATTCTGCCTGTTGTTCTTTCCCCCTGTATGTGAAGCCCAAAGTTTGGTCTAACAAGATATCAGGCAGCTGTGAACTAGGTCTCAGGCCACCACATTTGGAGTTCTCCCCTGGCTGACTGCTTCATGCTCTAGAAGGCATATTGCATATTATATAAAGATTAGTACATTGAAGATGTTCTAACTTTGTGCTCTAGAAATAGAGGTGTACAGTAGTTTTCAGCTTTATGGTTTTCTGATTGTCAGTATAATTGACATGCTAGTCAAGATAACATTCTAAGGAGAAATTTAAACAGTACTTAATTGTCATCTTAAACTTGTGCTGGTTCAGTAGCTTCTAGAAATCTATCCCCGTCCTCTTTATTTTTCAACACCAGCATCTTCAGTCTGAGTGACTCTATATTTTAAAAGAAAGTTATTTTCTGCTCATTTTTTGTTTGTGAATTGTAGGTTGTGCAGAAAGGTGCATGTGGCTGTTGTAAAAGAGCAAAACCAAAAAAACCCCCTCACCTTAAAAATAACTATTTTACCTTTGTGATTTTTTTTGTTTTGTGTTGATTTTGCTGTTCTTCATCTGTATCTAATAATTCTCTTCCTCTCTTCCAACAGGATTCAAATTTAAGGGACCCTTTCTTTGCAATGGACAGAATTATGTCAAATATGAGAAACAGCATGCTCGACCTGCAAAAAAATGTTGTAAGTATACCATAAAATTCAGCTTCTAAAACTGTTTGCTGTTCAGTAGAAATAGTCCTTCTCTTCCCCCAGAAATATTTTAGGGCAGGAGGTGTCAAACTCTTCTGGCCTGGTCAGGCATCTGCACCATGTGCAGCACCTACCCCATCCAGTCCAGAATCTCTCTGTCTCATCTCCTGTTCCTTGTGGTGACAGTCTTGCAATTCTTTCCATACAGTACACCTTGCAAAGTCAGTGCAGTTTAGGCTTTGTCTCCTTTGATATCACCTTTTACTTACAATGTGGGAATGGAGAATGCATTAATCACAGAGTATGGATAACTTGGTTTTTTAAGTAGTATCTTCATTATTAATGAGAATTCTACCAATCTTAGGATGAACTGTCAATCAATCCAGATGCCCACACATTCAGATCTTCCTCGGTAATGACCTATTCCAAGATAGGCGATGAACCACCAAAAGTTTTCCAGGCTTCAGCTCAGACCCGCACAGCTCCAGGAGGTGTAAGTATGCTTGACACAGTTAAAGTTTTAGTAAGATGGTTGGAATACAAACTAGAGTAGACCAAATTCTGTTTCCTTTCACATTCTAACTGGTGCCAGTGAATTGTATAACATAGCAGTATTGTAATAGAGTGAACACCTTAATGGAGTAAACATCTTGTTCCTGGGGTAGTTGCTCCTTGACACTACTATCTTAAGTCATTGTATGAAGTGCTGTCTCCTGCTATGATTACATGTATGCCTCTTTCCATGCATAGTAGAAAAATGAGTGTTTATAGCAGCAAGTTTTACATTCCCTGCTTTTTGAGCCAGTATATAATGGCCATGATCAGGTGTTGAATTTGAATAGTGGAAAATTTTCACCACTAGAAATGATCCTGAGATGGGAAGCAGTACAGGCATGTAGCCTACAACTGATCCCCCTCCCTTCGCAAAACTTGGAGATCTGCGTCTGGAGAAACTGGGGAACAGTGGCTGCTCCAGTTCTCGTTCCCAGGGGAAGGGGGAACAGCAAGGTAACCCCCACATTCCTCTGACTGGAAAGCATGGAGTGGCTGCTCCTTCCCTTCTCTTCTGGTCTATGCAAGGGGTGGAAGCAGCTGTGCCCTGCATCTTCTCCAGATTACTGTGACCCCAGTCTGGGGAAGCCTTTCCTGCTGCTTGACTCCTCCTGGTCATTGGATGAGACAAGCTGCAGCTGCTCCCTATGCTCTCCCCAGACTGGGGTGGCCTCAGTCTTGGGACTGTGGGGGTCACTTCCCTCCCACTTGGTTCCTGGCTCCCTAAGGACAGGCATTCATTTTTCTTGGAGAAACTATCCTGGAAGTAACTTCCATCAGGTTGATGATCTGTTTGTTGTTGGGTTTTTTTCTTCCAGAACTGGCAATTTTTGTTCTGGAAAAAGTGTGTGAATGTCTGTATGCATGGTTTCTATTGAGACAGCTGCAGTTTTCCTGGTAGAAACTTAACATCTGTACATGAACTAAGTCTCATTTCTTTTACCCTGTCTATTTTGCCATATTTGCCTAAATATCTGTAAACATAAGATAGTAAAGGTGTATCCAGTTTGCACAATACTGTCTAAAACCCTTGTGTATATACCCACAAGAATGTGTAATAGCTACTTCTCATTATCTTTTGAACCGGAGCACTTTTAAATGCTTACCTAATACTTCAGATGAAGATGCCCTTTCATTGGCTTCCTTGCAGCTGTTGCAGCTAATTCTGCTAAGAAATTCAAATTTAAATTTGAGCCCTTAAGCAAGGTTCATGAAAGACTATCTGTAAGCAGTATAAGGCTGTTGAATATATCCCACACCCAAAAATGTTGGAGCTCAAGCCAGTATTTGGTTATCAGAAAGGTTCTAATAATATACCTATGAGCACAGTGATAAGTGGTAGCCAAGAGTTTGAGGTCCATCAACACGACAGTCTAATTATTATCTGCCCTTTTAATGTAGAGAATACTAGCACATACTTACTCATTTTGTTGTCAAGGAGAATGTTCAAGGCTCTTTGCATAGATTATATTTAGACTAGGCTTAGCCAGATTTTGAAAAAACTAACCATTATGCAATTTTTTTTCTTAAAACTTTGAAGGGTAATATTTCCTATCTGCCAACAATGGCATGATCTATTGTAGGAATAATTGTAACATAAATAAATAAAACCTTATCTTTGCACAGATTAAAGAAACTAGAAAAGCCCTTAGAGATTCTGAAAGTGGACTAGAAAAAATGGCTATTGGTCATCATCTTCATGACCGTGCTCACCTTGTCAAAAAATCCAAGAACAATAGAACTGGTGATGAAGAACTGAATCAGGAATTCATCAACCTGGATGAATGTAGGTTGTCTTGTGCACAGCTCTGACACTCTTTTCTCTTCAAAAGGGATGACTTTTTTCTTTTAATACTCAGTCTTGAATTTTCAATTTAAATCTTCCTCAAGATATTTGTTTCATCATGTATGGAAAATAGCTAGGTCTAATTTTCTTTTTTTGTGTCTGGTGATGCACCACAGGTGGCTGACCACCTCCTCATGTGTGGCTCTACCACATTAATGATGTGTAGAGTGGGAAATGAAGCATGCAAGTGAAGATGCTTGGAAGATGCCATATTTACTCAGATCCAAGATGAACACCCCCCACTTTAGTATAGGCTGGGGGCTTGGGGGAAGGGGACCAAGGGTAGCAGCTGCAGATCCAACTGTGGCCTTGAGTCCAGGATTGGAATTGGAGACGTAGCTGCTGCCCCCTGTGCCTCTGCTATCTGCATCCCTGCAGCTCCTGCTCCTCCCTGAAGCCAGGCCAGGGCCAGAGGCAGCACATCCTCTGTTCTCCATGCCCTGGGCTGGAGTGGGGTGCCAGCTGGAGCCAGAGCTGTGATAAATAAGTGGTAGCAGGGGGTAGAGGCAACGCAAGGAGATGAGAAGAGGGAGGGGGGTTGGGACACCCAGAGAAGTAAGTGGGGGGCAGGTGGAAAGGGGCAAGGGTCAGGTCACTTGAATCCTCTGCTACCTGCCTTCCTGCTGCTGTGGGTGGGGGGTCAAATTTAAGATGACTCTTCAATAATTAAGTTCTAGACATGGAGAATTATAGCATTTTATAAATTTTCCATGTCTAGAGTCTAATTATAGTTTTGAATTCAGTCATCTTTGATTCAAGTAATATGGTAGCCTTTTCTAAAAGAGCATAAACTGGGTACCAAAATTATTAGTCATTTTTGGAAATATTTTTTCTAGTTCTGTTATAAAAACTTTTCGTAACAGAGTGGTATGGAGAAGT